GGGAGAAATTCATATTTTCTGATTTGGTTCTTCTAATCATTATCACAGATTATTTTAAAATTATTTTTGTATACATGTATGTATTTATCTTTTTGGACCAATGTTCTTTAAATAAGGATGAGGTGGATGGATTGGAGAAAAATGCTTCCTTCCTAGTATTCCCATCATTCCATTAATTGGAGGCATTTAACAGAATTAAGACTTTGGCTCATTTTTTACAACAGGAGAAGTATTAATGATTTATTTCTAGGTTCATTTCCAGAGCCTGTACAAAATCTCTGGACATCTGACATCTCCCTAAATATGATATTCAATATACCCCATGTTCTAGTGTTTAAATCATAACCTATGATAGTACTTTTATATTTTAAAACTATGTAGTTAAGCTTTCAGCAATTACTTTCTAGGGGTGATCTTCCCTCCATCTTCATACCCAAAGACTTTCAATTCTATCGGACAAGAGAAATTTTCCCTCCTTTACCTCCTGGGACTTGTTGGAAATAAGTTGAAAGACTATACCACTTACATTAGAAAAATAATTTTCTTAGGAATCTCTTTCCTAAAGAAAAAAAAAATCTGAAAAATTTAAATAAGTGAAGCTAAAAAAATAAAAATAAAAAGATTTTTTAAAATAAATAAATAAGTGAAGCTAAGTTTCACTGATTTTGTGGAGCTTACAATTTTAAACCATGTCTTTTTAAACCATTTATTCAAATTGTTTTGTCTGCAAAATAGTACAAGTATTCATTCTGTTTTTCAGAATGAACATGCTGTTATTTATTAAATAAATGAACTTTTAAAACTTTCATAAAACTTTAATAAATCCAATTACTTTTGAAATGTCAGTTGTGATAATGGCATGAGGCTTATACAAAAAGAAAAGTTGTCAGAAACACATTCCAAAGATATTCTAGATGAATTGTCATGATGTCTGAGATTTGTTTTAAAATATTCCAGCCAAAAATAAGGCAGGATAGGTGAAAATAGAATTGGCAAAATACTGATAATTGTTAAAGGTGGGTGATAGGTACGTAGAGGTTTATTATACTGTTTACTTTTCTTCATGCTTAAACTTTTTCATAATAAAATATTTAAAAATTCCATACTGTTGTTCTGCTGTTGTTATTATATCATCGCCTTTTGATCCTCCCCGGTCACTCTCTCAAGGTGTATATTCTATTCAAGAAATCCTCCTGAATCTTTATCCCAGGGAAAGAAAGAATGAACCAAAGAGCACATTGTGGATTCTGCCAGGAGTCAAAACCCAGGTGCTGGTCACTTCTTCGGCCTCCAACTTTCAGCAGAGCTATAGGTGTCTCATGAAGACTCGGCAGGATTGTCATCTGATAATAAATTTTCTCACTTCTTCGAAGTACCTAAAGCTACAGGAGTTACTTATGGAGCATTGCCTAGAAGCTGTTGCAGTATACATAGTTATTCATAGAAAATAGACTATACGAGTTCTACAGATAATTTGCTATGGGTACTTAGCTTCTTGGGAGTCATGAAGGATGGCATGTTACACTTACATGATAACATCACAAAGAACAAGAAGCATGGGGACACAAGTCGTTAAATTTGGTGTTATCAGTGCCACACTTTTTTTTTTTTTTTTTTTTTTTTTAAAACTTCTTTTCTAACTACTTTATCAATCTGTTTTTCTTACTTTTCTACTCTCCCAGTAATTCTGAATGTTTCTCGAGGTTTTATTCTAGAATCTTGTCTCCTCTCAAACTATGTTCTCTCTTTTTTTTTTTTTAAAAGATGACCGGTAAGGGGATCTCAACCCTTGGCCTGGTGTTGTCAGCACCACGCTCAGCCAGTGAGCAAACCGGCCATCCCTATATAGGATCCGAACCCGCGGCCTTGGTGTTATCAGCACCGCACTCTACCGAGTGAGCCACGGGCCGGCCTATCAGTGCCACACTTTACCAAGTGAGCTGCTGGCCAGCCCAAGAAGGCATTTTTGATGATCCTGATTTTAATAGGAGCAGCTTCAGCATGTAGAAGACTTTTTAAACAGATAGTGATAAAGAATTATTTATAAGTAAATGAGATCCGGAGGAATGACATTTGTTTTACACAAACACCACAGGAACACAAGGTAATTAGATCTTAATATAGAAAGAAAGCTCATATATGGCAATTTTCCTAAATGGGTATACAGTTATAAAATTGATTGGGACTTTCTGGAATTAAAACAAATGTAAGAAAGTTGCTCTGTCTCAGAGCATTTTTGACGCTCATGGTATGATAGATTTACAGGTGCTTGGGGACATTTTAATTAGTCACATCTGGAAATAATGCTGGCAGTCCTTCCTAATATCTGTCCTTCAAAACCAATTCCTTACTTCAGTGACTGTTATCTGGCCTTGGCCTGGGAGATTCCAGGGGACTTTCTCACATGCTAGAGAGGATTTCATCTTCTCTTTACCTCAGTAAAGAGACTTAAAACCATTTCATGAGACAGGAACAGTGGACAGGAAGAGGGCTGGTTAGCCTGGAAATAAAAGGCCAAGGGGAGACACGATGGCTACTTTCAAATATTTGAGGTGTAACTTTATAAAAGAGAGAGTAATAGGCTGGCCAGTTAGTTCAGTTGGTTAGAGGGTGGTGCTGATAACACCAAGGTCTGGGGTGCGATGCGGGGTTGTATCAGCCAGCCAAAAAATTAAAAAAGAGAGAGAGAGAGAGAGAAGACCCGTTCTGTGAAACTCAAGAGTATATTAGAACCAGTGACTACCGTTTTAAGAATCCAGATTTCAATTCAACCTATAAAGAACTTTCTAACAACTGGAGTAGGACCTTAGTTAAATAAGTAACTCCTTTGAATGAATTCATACTGTGGCTACCTGGTGAGCGTGAGGGATGTTTTACAGGCTGCTGGAAATGTGGACCATGGAGCGTGCTGGTCCACACATTCTTCTTTGTTCCTTGAGATTTAAATTTTTTATTTATTTATTTATTTTATTTTTATTGAAACATATTTGAGTGTATATATCTGTGAGGTGCAGAATTTATATCGATACCTGTGTGCAATATGTGATGCTCAAATCAGGATAATTAGTATATTCAACATTATACAATGTAATAGTTCCTCATGGCCCTTTACCATCTCCTCCCCCCACCCACCCTCAGTTCAATTCTTTCCTTTTGAAAGTTCAACATATTATTGTGATTGTTGTTTCTTTTTAAAATTTATTTATTTGGGTTTTTTTTAGCTTCCACTTATGTGTGAGGACATGCGGTATTTCTCTCTCTGTGCCTGGCTTTTTTAACATAACTTTCTCTAAGTTCATCCATGTTGCTGCAAATGGAGCCTTAAATTTTAATGACATTTTTACAGCAGTTTGATTTCTAAAATCATGTTTCCTGTATATAAAAAACCTATTACAGTTATCAGAAAATTCCATTCATAAAATGTAGACCATTTATATATTTATGTATCAAATATTTTATGTGCTTATCTGATATACTGATAGACATAGGATGGTAATCTATCCTAGATTTTTTTTTTTATTATTGTGGTAAGAACACTTAACCCAAGATCAATCCTCTTAACAAATTTTTAAGTGTACAATATAGTGATGTTAACTATAAACATAATGTCGTCCAGCAGATCTCTAGAGCTTAATCATCTTGCATCACTGAAACTTTGTATCTTTTGATTAGCAATGTATTTCTCCCTCCCTGAAACCCCTGGAAACCACCATTCTATTCAATGCTTCTATGTGTTGGACGGTTTTATGTATATCATATATGTGGAATTGTGCAGTATTGTCCTTCTGTGAATGGCTTATTTCACCTGGCATAATGTCCTCAAAGTTCATCCATGTTATCTCATATAGCAGGATTTCCTTCTTTTATAAGGCCAAATAATATTCCATTGTACATATGTACCACATTTTCTTTATCCATTCATCCATCAATGGACATTTAGGTTGTTTCCTCATCTTTGTGGTTGTGAATAATGTCACGATGAACACAGGAGTGCAAGTATTTCTTTGAAATCCGATTTCCATAGATTCTTTGATCCTAGTCCACAAGAGAAGGAGTTTGTGCTAGATTGTAAATATATGCACTGCTCTTTCATCCATAAAGTCTTGCTATGGAAAGAAAATGTTGGTGGAACTAAACAATGTCTTTAGTGACATTCTTAGGTGCTTTGATTATTACTATTGCAGTGGAAAGAATTTATTCTTTAAGTAGTTAACAAGACTACAGACCTTTCATAGTAATCAAATGAACACACTGCAAAATACATATAAATGGAAAGTTCCTTTTAATACTAAGATCTATATTTCACTGATTGAGGATATGTTGAATACTTCACAGCAGTATAAAGTTGCCCCCCCAAAATGGATCACTGCTGCACCCTGGAACTTCATGTCAGGAATCTATTGATTGGATCTGCATTAGGCAGATCCTGTAAGTTGAATAAATAATATATATTGCATAGGTATATGTGCCTCTGTTTAAGAATATAATTATTCTGTTATGATTATAAAATAAGAATTGATTTTTAAGTGCTATGGAATTAAAAGTAGCTTTTCATTGTATTTTCCCAAGCAGTATATACTAAAAGTACCATTTCAGTTATGTGGAGATACAAAATGCATTTTTTGTAGTGTCTTTACACCAATAAGTTTGATAATCATTCAGGGCCTCTGAGTACAGCTGCATAGTTCGCACACTGCACATATAACATATAGCTGGAGTTCAGCTCCCATGTGCTTATGCAGCCATCAAATCTGGCAGTAAAACTGCATCAGGCCTAGGGTAACCAACCGTACCACTTTGCCCAGGACTGTGGTTTCCCAGGATAGGAGACTTCCCATGCTACGAGCAGCACCATCCTGGGCAAACCACCCTAATCAGGGCACAGATATGTCATATGTGCTAGCTTCAGCCTTGGAATCCTTCCTGTGAAATGTAGGTCTGAACGAGCTGAAATGCTGAAGTCATTTTCACATCACTTCTTTTCTCCTTATGTTTTAAAGGTGAAAGACCCATGTAATCATGCCAACCTCTTGACCAAGCCTGATCCGAGAACCTTCTGGACTAATGATGATTCAGGTATGATTGGAAAAATACACTCTGGCCCTGTGATGTGCAGGATGCATTCTGTAGCAAAGCCCTACCCAAGGTTTGGGGAAATTTCTGTTCGTTTGTTTGTTTATGCCTAGCCCAACACTTGAATATACTTTACAATCAATTTTATCATTAAAGTCCTTTCCTTATATCTTCTTTTTCAGCATCCAAGGCATATATACCATGAGGTGCAGCTTTGTGGATTGTGCAGTATATTCAAGTTTTGGGGGGAACAGAGGAATGAGTCTATTTTCTGGAGTGTGGGACAAGGGAGTAGAATATAGTGGACAAATATACTCGTCCAAGTTCCTTTTCCAGGACAAGGAAGTAATTAGAAAACGTAAGATGAGTCATACTTCATAATGCTTACGGGAGGGTAAGTATGACGTGCACTGTGAGATCCAGGGGTAGAAATCTAATCAGAATCAGAAGAATGCCTCTTTATAAGATCAGAGCGTATGCTTCAGATTATGTAATTAAAAATTGCACTCAAAGTGTAGGGTATGTCTTTATAGGAAACAGAAGACATTCTGTTTCACAAACACATACGAGCCGTGAGGCCTAACTGCACAAAGTAGATGACAGAAATGAAAACGGAAGTGAAGCAAAAAGGAGCCAAAACAATTAAGAGAGTGATAAGAGAGCTTTCACCTTTTCTAGTTAAACGGGGTCTAATGAAATAGAAAGCCAGTGCTGATACCTACTATTTATATTATGCCTCACACTTTTATATAGTGCGTTCACGAGACTCTAGTGTTTGCAGTCACCCTGTGAAACAGGAGGGAAAGCCTATCCTCATGGTCCCCATGTTAGAAACGAGATAACAAGCTAAAGGGGTTGGCTGACATGCCCAAGGCTCAGAGCCAGAAAACACCAGGGCTGGGAGTAGGAGGGAGAGCTGGGTGCCCAGCTGTATAGATACTTGCTAGGAAGAAGCAGCCATCCTGTGAGAAGCAACTTGGACTAAGTCTGTGCTTCCATCTTTTCTCCATAAAAGAGAGTCAGAGGCTATACCTGTCTGCAGAAGCAGGAGGACTTGAGGAGCAAAGTGAAAAACTCTCTAATGGCTTTTTTCTTTTTCAAAGACCAGAATTACGGTCTAAACTTATTATCTGTTTCATCTGTCAAAATTTTTTTTCTCTCTTGTTTTATGTCTGTCTTTTGAAGAAAGATGAAGAAACATGAAAGTGTATTGGCCTATTTGTGCCATCATTTCAGTCCATTAGGAGTATAACACCTCAGTAAACAACCCCTCTGCTGGCTCATCCTGCTGTTAGATCTACAGCATGTGTGTTGTGAAGAAGCAGGGAGGATAAAACATTACAATTAAAAAGTAAATGATTCTGGATGTTATGTAAAGAGAATGGAACGGGAGGAGAATCCATATAGGACAGTTGAGCAAATGTTGCTCAGACTCTTTTAGAAGCTGGAGAAATTGTGTTACAAGAAAAATTAATGCAATAGGAGTAAGAATACTTCAGATCTAGTCAGTTTTAAAACGTTTTTATTATTTTTGTGTCATCAGTGGGGTTACAAAGATATAGTGTCCCTTCTGTAGCAGCTCATCTAATGAAGATCCTCCCCAATAACCAACTCATAGATCAGGATCTATGTCTAGAGTGACTTTTTTTTTTTTTGCTTAGTTATTCAATCAATTACTGAGATGGAATATTAAAATCTCCACCTATGGTGGTGGAATTGTCTGTCACATCTTTTAATTCATTTTCAATTTTTGCTTCATATTTTGAAGCTCTAATATTCGGCACACACATCTTTATGATTGTTACGATTTTCTAATGAAAAAATCATTTTATCATTAGAAAATGTCCCTCTTTTTCTCTGATAAAAGTGGTTGTTTCAAGTCTATTTTCTGATATTCATATAGCCAGTCCAGTCTAATTATGCCTAGTCTTTACATCATAAATCTTTTCTAGGGCCGGCCCGGTGGCGCGCACTGCTACAGCGCGCCGCTTGGGAAGCGCGGCGGCGCTCCTGCCGAGGGTTCGGATCCCACATACAGACCGGCCGCTCACTGGCTGAGCGAGGAGCGGGGGCAACACCGAGGGTTGCGATCCCGTAGCTGGTCCCGTTCCGGTACGGGCGCGACACTGAGGGTTGCGATCCGTTTCCGGTAACGAAAAAAGGCAAAAAAAATTAAAAAATAAATAAATAAATAAATCTTTTCTATGCATTTACTTTCAACCTACATCTTTTTTTTTTTTTTTTTTTTTTAAAAAGATGACCGGTAAGGGGATCTTAACCCTTGACTTGGTGTTGTCAGCACCACGCTCAGCCAGTGAGCGAACCGGCCATCCCTATATGGGATCCGAACCCGGGGCCTTGGTGTTATCAGCACCACACTCTCCCGAGTGAGCCACGGGCCGGCCCTCAACCTACATCTTATAGTTTAAGTACTTCTCTTATATACATCATGTGGTTAGATTTTCCTTTTAAATCCTATCTAACAAAAGTGAAAAAATATAAAACAAAACAAAACAAAATCCTATCTGACAATTTGGTTTTTATTTGAGATGTTTAGATCACTTACAGTTAAGTTATTGTTGACATGGTTAGATTTAACTCCACCTTTTTTTTTTTTTTTTTTGCATGGCTGGCTAGTACCGAGATCTGAACCCTTGATCTTTGTCCTATCAGCAACATGCTCTCTCAAGTAAGCTAACCAGCCAGACTGACTCTACCATTTTGCTGTTTGTTTTCTGTATGTTCATTCTCTTCTTTGTTTGCCTGTTCTTCCTTTTCTGACTTCTCTAAGATTATGGGACTATTTTTTAGAATTCAATATTAATTTATCTATTGAGCTTCTTTTTGTTTTTTAAAGATGACCGGTAAGGGGATCTTAACCCTTGACTTGGTGTTGTGAGCACCACGCTGTCCCAAGTGAGCTAACCAGCCATCCCTATATAGGGATCTGAACCCGTGGCCTTGGTGTTGTCAGCACCACACTCTCCCAAGTGAGCCACGGGCTGGCCCTTATGTATTGACTTTCTAATTATACCACTTTGCATTATACTTTCAGTGGTGAGTCTACAGATTACAATGAACTTTAAATTTTCACAGACCATTGTCAAAACCTTAAAACAATATTTACCATTTACCCCACCCCTACTCTCATCCTTTACATTATGATTGTCATATATATGTACGTGTGTGTGAAATAAACACCACAGTATAATGTATTTAAAGTAAAACAAGAGGAAACCCATCTTTTGTATTTACCCAGATATTTACTATTTCTGATGTTCTTCATTTCTTCCTAAAGATCCAAGTTTCCCTCTGGTATCATTTTCCTTTGCCTAAAAATTTTCCTTTAACATTTCTTATCATGGTGGTCTTCTGACAATGAAATATCTTAGTTTTCTTTTATCTTCATGACAGGTCTTTATAAATGAAAATATCTTTATTCTTGAAGGATGTTTTGGCTAGATATGGAATTCCAAGGGGATGATATATTTTTTTTTTCTTTCATCGCTTTAGAGACGTTGGTTCATGACTTCTGGCCCCTAGAGTTCTGATAATAAGTCTCAATGTTTAAATCATTGCTACCCTGAATGTAATGTGTTGTCTTTTACTGGCTTTTTCTTAATCTTTGGTTTTTATCAGTTTGACTAAGATGTGCTTACAGTAAAATCTACATTCTTTAATATCTAGACCCCTCAGGTTTAGAAAGTTAAATATTCTTCTAGTCTGCTAGTAGTGTTCTTATCATTTGAATCTGGAGGATACAGTTGTTTCTCCTGTGGTTTCTATGTCCTTCTTTCTCCAGCACATTGGCACTCTACCTGAAACATTTCCCAACCTCCTTCAACTCTGCTAAGTGCAGACACAAGGTAAAGCAACTCCGCAGCTATCTTTCTGCAATGTGCAAACTTGAGCCTGTAAATGGATTCTTTACAAAGGCAATGTTCTAAGTCATTGTCACAGTACGAATTTTATTATTGTGACTTTTATGAACTCCTGAAATATTTTTAATAAAATGATTCTGTCATTTCCTATGGAAAACATATTACAGTGAGTGAAATATTTCTATTCAGAGCCAGCCATCATTAAAGAGTATTTTACCTATTTAATCTAGTGTGTAGTCTCTTGATACACAGTTTAAATATTAGGGGTAACTAATCCACATAGCTTAGTAGAAACAGAAGTTCAATAAAAACATTATTTTGTTAAGAAATAAGGAATTCCTGACGGTTAGCTTACTCTGAAATCTGGTGGGATTGCCTAGAATTGTATATTCACTGTCGTTTTGTGTGAGTTCCAGAGGACAGGACTGGCATTCTCAGTTACTGTATGCAGATATTGGTACCTAGTTTTAGAAACAAAAGTCATTTTTATTTTTTTATTTTATTTTTTATTTATTTATTTTTTGTCTTTTTCCGTGTCCGGCAACGGATTGCAACCCTCAGTGTCGCCCCCGTACCGGACTGGGACCGGCAACGGGATCACAACCCTCGGCATTGCCCCCGGGCCTCGCTCAGCCAGTGAGCGGCCGGTCTGTAAGTGGGATCCGAACCCTCGGCGGGAGCGCAGCCGCGCTTCCCAAGCGGCGCACTATCGCAGTGTGCCACCGGGCCGGCCCCAAAAGTCATTTTTAGAAAGCCTTCCCCCACCCCCAATTATAATCTAAAAGTGGCATATGCTCATCATAGGAAAAAATGGAAAATAAAGGAAGAAAATTAATCATCATAATCTTATTGCCCACACTTTTGTTCACTGGGCTTAGAACATCACATGCATTCCCAGCATTTGTTCAGACATTCAGCAAACAGGCTGCACGAGTTTAGGCTCCTTCCTGTGATCTTTGTTTTCAGGCTTTGAAACCCGAGTTGTTTGTTTTTTGTACGCCTTTGTTTTTCAATTGCTGCTCCTGCAGTGGCCTGTAATATCCTTTTAAACTAGAATTTCAAGGTAGGATGAGTTTCCCCACACTCTCAAAATGTGTGTTTTTCCCCAGTACTATTATTGGC